TGATACTAAAATTTATGGGAAATTCAAAAGATTCAGGGTAGCCAAAACTGTATTGAAAAAGAGCAAATTTTGTTGACTTGTATGTTTCAATTTTAAAATTTACTACAAAACTACAATATTCAACATGGTGTCATACTCTCATAATGAAAGGCATGTAGAAAAACTGAGTAGAATGTGAGTCTAGAAATAAACTCAAACATCCACAAGCCATTGAATTTCAACAAAGGTATGAAGACAATGGAGAAAGGACACTCTTTCAACAAATATTGCTAGATTAATTTGACAGTCACAGTGCAAAAATATGAACTTAGACGTTCACTTTTCTTTTTCTTTTTCTTTTTTTTTTTTGTGCCAGAGATTGAACTCGGGACCTTGTGCTTGCAAGGCAGGCGGTGGCATCACTGAGCTATATCCCCAGCCCAGACCTTTACTTTTCTATGGACAAGAAAATTTTAATTGGGCAAAAAAAATTTAAATGGGCAAAAAACTGTACACATGTTGATGGCAGTGTTATTCATAATAAGTAAAATCTGGAAACAACTCAGATGTCTCTCAGTGGGTGAAGGACTAAACAAACTAAAATACACCTATTAAGTGAATACTACCCATAAATTAACCATTGATATATGTAATAAGTTGGGTGAGTTTCAAGATAAGTATGCTACAATACTTGACAAAAAATACCAATCTGGCTTCTGTTTTTGTAAATTATTTAGTCTCTACTGTTTTTGTTTCACTCACATTAGCTCCATTTTCACATCAAAGCAGAATACTGTCTTGCATGGAACTCCCCCCCCCCATTTTTTGTTTTTTTGTTTTTTTATTTTTTTGGTTAGGAGACCCATGAACAGCTTTCTTGCCTAAATTGCTCATTTTTATTTACTTACTGTCATGTGAAGGACGGTTAATTGCTTTCTTAAACATTTCTGTAAGGAAAGTTAAAAAATGCTGAACTTCAAGTTTTGGATGACTATGGTTCTTACTAGGAACAGATTTTGCCTGGTATATCCAGGTACTCTTTAGAGCCTAGTATTGATATCAATAAAGGAATGCACTTCAGAATAGCAGTATATTTTATACTGATGCAGAAGTGATTTCAAGAAACAATGACTTATTAAAATTGCTTTTTATTTTCATAATTTTGAAATTGATGAGATATTTTATTAATATTCCAGTCATTACTTTTAATTCAAGAATGTAATTTTACCAAAAGAAAAATTTGAAAATTTCTATTCAAGTTAATGGAATTAGCTATTAAAAGAAAAATAAGGAGAAGAATCCTGCTGTTTTCAGTGTTTCCTGATTTCATTTTTGTACATATGAAGAGGAATTTCAATTATGAAAAATTTTTAAAAGATATAAAAATATATGTACTTTTATTTCCTGTCTTGAA